GGGAGGGAGAAAAGAAGGGAGGAAGGAAGGAAGGGAGGGAGGAAAGTAGGGAGGAAGGAAGGGAGGGAGGGACGGAGGAAAGAAGGGAGGAAGGAAGGGAGGGAGGAAGGGAGGGAGGGAAGAAGGGAGGAAAGAAGGGGGAAGGGGGTCCCATAACTGCTATGTTGGCAGCAACACAAGTTCCTGGGAATACGGGTCTCTCAAAATGGTGCTCATAGTTTTTCTATGATTTTAGTTCCATTTTAATGAAAAAAAGTGGGTTTTTTCACTGTTTTAAGACAAACAATATTGTAACTTATTTTTCACAATTTACTAGTTGGTTTCGTGTTTTTTATGTTTCCAGAGCACTTGCCCCCATGGGGAGTAGGGTTTTGATGTTATGATGTTTGGGTGTGGGACACAGACATGCTGAGATGTGGGGACTCATATCTCCCCTTCATCTTCCTCTCCAATATATGTTCACCACTTAAACATCAGATATCGCCACTGCCAATATTCCAGTGTCTTTCCTCTGTATCTACCCTTACATCTCTATCTGTTATAAATTGATATTATACCAAATACATAGGTCTGTCTAGATCATAATCATCTCCCCATGTGGTTATGAATTATTCGCAAACATCACTTTTAATGCTGCATAACAGTACACTATTTAGATGAATCAACTTTAGAGTCTCTCCTAATATTAGGACATTTTAGCCTGTTCAACATCTCATTTTTATATCTAATGTTTCTATGAACATTCTTCATTTGAGAACATGAAGTGAAATCTTTATTATTACCTTAGTCTGGGTTCCAGTTCCATGATTTTTAACTAGTAAGTCCCGTTAGCCCCTGAGTCTCACTTTCTTACCAGTGAACTGTGGAGGTACTAACACCCTTCAAAGTGCCTTGAAGCACCTTGAACTATGCAGTAGTTAATTTGGGGGACTGAGCCTAGAACACCCAACACACTGCGGTTCTTAACATTAGTGATTCTGAGCACAGAAGTGAGGCCCTGCCCTCTCTTTCAATTAACCATGAATGTTCTGAAGTTCAAAAGAACCCCAGGAAGACTGGAAGCTCTCCAAGACACCAAAGAAAATGCCTGTGATCTGGAATTTCAGGCACTGTGAGCAGAGTGAAGGAGGGCATCTTTTTGGGGAGAGGTATGCCAGAATGTTCTTAATCCCAGACCAGAGATGCAGAGAGAAGTCCCAGCCCCCAAGTTCATTTTCCAGTCCAGCTCCCCCATTCTCCATCACGCCCTGTAATCCTCCAAGGTTACTCAAGTCTGGGAGAGGTTTTGGCAAGGCTCCTGGCCCAGGTGACCTCCTGGTGCTCCCCCTACCTGCCCAGTAACCCTTATAGATGCAGTGTGACTCAGTCTTTCATCTTTTTCCTTTTTCTGGTGTACAAGGTTAAACGGATGAAATAGTTTCCCCCAATTCTGAGGACAATGCATGATAAAGCTGGAATGTTCATCCAGTCTGAGACTTCCATTTTATAGACAGAGAAACTTAAGCTACATGAAGGAGTGGAAAGAAATGAGCTTTGGAGGGTGTCTGGGTGCCTCAGTTGGTTAAGCATCCAACTTCAGTTAGGTCACGATCTCATGGTTTGTGAGTTCAAGCCCCGTGTCGGGCTCTGTGCTGACAGCTGGCAGCCTGGAACCTGCTTCAGATTCTGTGTCTCCCTCTCTCTATGCCCCTCATTAAACATTAAAGAAAACATTAAAGAAAATTAGGGGTGCCTGCATGGCTCAGTCAGCTAGACATGTGACTCTGGATTTCGGCTCAGGTCATGATCTCACAGTTCGTGAGTTCAAGCCCAACATAGCACTCTGCACTGACAGTGTGGAGCCTGCTTGGGATTCTCTCTCTGCCCCTCCCTCCCTCTCTCTCTCTGTCTCAAAATAAATTAACAAACTTAAAAAAATTAAAAAAAAAAAGAAATGAACTTTGTAGTCAACCAGACCTGGTGTCAACTCTCAAATCTGTTATTTCTTAAGAGTTACTTAATAAACTTGGGCCTCAGTTTCCTCACCTGTAGAATAGGTCTGCTGAGAGGTTCCCTACCTCGAGAGGCTGCTGTGAACATCAACTGAGAGAACATCTGTCTGTGAATGAGCATCCTGATGAACATAAGATGCTGTACAAATGGAAGCATCATGAATGGCTCCAGCTCTCCTTTCGGTCATACGAAGGAGCTGAGGCCCAGAGAGTGGCAGAGGCTTGTCCAATGTCACGCAGCAAACTGGTCGTGGTGAAGGACTGAATGCTCTAAACATAGTTCAGCAGGGACTCACCTGCCCATGGGGACACTGTATGATGTAAAGGATGGTGACAGCAAACCTGTAGGACAAAAACAAGGCTTGGAGCACTGTGGTCCCTCCCAGCACAGCCCCTGGGAAGAAGCCCAGATCCCATCAGCCTGGAGCTACCTCCTCTTTTCTTACTCCTTGGGAGGGCTGGTTGCCAGGCCTCTGTGTACACTCCACCCAGACTGAGCACCCTATTTGTGCCGAAGTGCACGCACCAAATACACTTAACATGTCCTTGTATAGGACACAATGCTGGAATCCATACAGCGGAGCACAAAGACCCTGAGTGATCTCCTCCTCCCTGCCCTCATGGGACCCCAGAGAGGGAAAGGAATTTGTCCAGAGTCACACCCAGAGCCAGGACCAAGGCTCAGGTCTCCTGACTGGTGTTGATGCTCCTTCTGGTGGGACTGGCCTTGTCTGGAAACACTGCCCTGAGGAATGAGCCTCAAGGCTTTAGTCCCATGAGACACACACTCCTGGCCATAGTCAAGCTTGATTCATCTCCCAAGATGCACAAGCTGCTGACTGATTCCCACCACCCATTTCTCCCCAGGTCAAAGGTTTGTCAGAGGCCGGAAGATGGTATTACCCCAGGTCTAACCCCGGATACCCTCTCTTTTAATTTTATAAAGCAAGCTGTTTACAAACTTAAGAATGGTAGCCATGGTGTGTCAGGTGCTGGTGAGCCCCCTCCAGTGGCCCACACACTGGGCCGGAGGACCCCTGCCTCACACAAAGTGCTGCAGCAGGAGAACCAGCTCAGTAAGGGGGACAGGGGCTAGAAAGCAGAGTGCTCGTGGGAGGACTCAGTCAGCAAGGATTCCTGGGACCGGCTCCATGCTGGTTCTGGGGCCAGTGCTGAGAGCACAGAAATCAACAGGAGGGTCAAGAAGTTCTCCATCTGTGGGGTTGGTGATCCATGAAGGATGAGCATGGATCTGTCAATGGACCAAGTCAGGGAAGATAACCCACAGGGGAGAATAACAACATATAGGCAAAGAGGCCAGAATGCATGATCCACAAGAGTCCATCTTGTTCTCCAGTGTTTTCCCTGGCCCACAGCAGGGATATAACGGCATGTTTGCTGAGTGAATAAGCAAGTGGATGAAGGAACGCAGGAGTCTGGTGTGACTGGAGGTGTGTGCTAGAGACTGTTAGGGATGGACAGACAGGGGAGGCCAGACTGCAGTGGCCCCAAATGCCAAGTTAAGGCACATGCACTTTCTCCTGGGCTCCCAGGGGAGACATGACAGCACAGAGAAGAAGTGTCCAAATGGGTCTCCTACATCCCCCAGTGGGACCGTGGGCAGTTGACAGAAAAATAAGTTTTCTACATCTCCGATTTCTGGAATATTCTAACCGCGAGTGGCCTGTGAAGCAGGAAGAATGCCTGACCTCCTGCAGCCTTACATGCAGTCCCAGGGAGAGGCCACTGTGGGACCTGGGACCAGTCACTCCACCTGCCCATCCTGGGCCTCAGTTCTGGGCAAAGTCGCCCTCCAAGGGGGGCTCTCGGGTCACCTCCAGCCCTTTGTCCAGAGTGCAGCCACGGCAAAGGAGTCACAGGAGGGCAGACACGCAGCGTCCGTCTTACCAGATCAGAGAGTAGCTGAAGCCAAGGATGGAGCTGACCAGCCGGAACTCCGACGAGAGGCAGGCAAAGAAGGGGAAGTGAGACAGGCCGACTTCCGTGCCTCCAATCAGAAGCACAAAGGCTGGGGGAGACAGGGCCAGAGATCCTGTGAGCTCTCTTCTCACAGGCTCGGGGGTGTTGCAACAAAGATACAGGGCTTTACGCCCACTTCCTGTCACAGGTCTCAGGTCCCAAGGAGGTGAGTGGACAAGCCCCAGCTCGGTAAAGAGGAATGGACGAATGTCTTTCATTCTTGCAACAGACCCTTCCTGGGACCTGTTCCACGCCAGGTCCTGGCTAACTATTGAGATGAAGAAGATTTGGTCCCTGCCCTTGGCTAGCTCACACTGTGATGTGCAGAGACAGGCCCCATAAGTGGACAAACAGCAATCACTGAGACTAAGGCCACCATAGCAACATGAAGAGTGGTGATGTGTGTGTGTGTGTGTGTGTGTGTGTGTGTGTGTACAAAACTTATAACTATCACATACTCTCTAAACAAGGCAGTGATAAGATTCATTCTGCCACTGACTAGCTCTCAGAGGATCTAATAAGATCCAGGAAAACCTACTCATGCAAGAGGATCTTTACAAAGTGCCTGCTTTGAGCTGGGTCTGGGGCCAGGCACTAAGGCTGCAGTTGGAATGAAGAAGTCTCTTGCTTTCTGAGGTGTTTACCGTCCAGTAGAGAAGACAGGGAGGAAGGTGAGTGCTGTGTTAACAGAGGCATATTCAATCTGCTGTGGGGACAAGGAGAGGAAGCCACTGACTTCACCTGGGGTCTGGGTCGGGGAAGGGAAGTGGTGACATACAACAAGGCCAGGAAGTATAAGCAGGAGTTTGTAAGATGGAGAGAAGAAGGGAAGGGAGGGCGTTCCTCACTCAGAGGATGGGAAATGGCTGGTTGGGGCTGGTGAGTATTTATGTGACCGTGAGGGGTGGGAGGCTGGCAGGGAAGGACGACATAGAAGGAATACTTTCTGTGAGGATGGAAGCCATGACAGTATCATTTTGTAATCTGCCAGAAGCGCCTCTGCCCTAGAAGCAGACAGAGCAACTAGAATGGCACAACCCACACCTGCAGACAGCATCTACAACAAAGTCAGGTCTCGAGGCCATTTGGTATCAACACCTGAAGTAGGAGGAAGCGGAGGAAGGCCCAAGAACAGAAGAACCCCAAACTGCCAGGAGATACAAGAGACCAAAGCTGCAATACCGGGACCGAGCCCCCCGTGGAGGCAGACAGGAAGACTCCAAGATGACAAGGACAGGAACACTAGGAGCTGGGAAACAGGGGGTCCAGACAAAAAGCAGAGGGAAGAGGCAGACTCGGAAAGTATGAGGATGTTAGGAGGATACATCTATATAATCACTTCGTGAAAACGAAAGAGAGGAATCTAGAGCCACGAACCAAGAAATGATATTCTGACCCAGCCAGATGCTCAATAGCATCAGTCTTTAGGGAAATGCAAATCAAGACAGTAGTTAGATACTACTTCACCTGTACTAAGATGGCTATAACTGTTTTCAAAATAGAAAATAGTGTGTGAGGATGTGCAGAAATTAGAACCCTCACACACTGCAGATCAGGGTCCAGAACAGAGTCCAGAAACAGACCCATACTTATGGAGCCAATCGACGCTGACAAGGGTCCAAAGGCAATTTTGTGGGCAAAGGACAAGTTTCTGAAATAAGCAGTGCTGGAAAAAATGGAAAAACAAAGGCAAAAACAACAACAACAACAAAAACTTCAATCGATACCTCACACTATATGCAAAAAATTAACTCAAAATGTATCACAGACCTAAAAGCAAAATATCGTAAGACTATAAAACTTCTAGAAAAAATATAGGAGAAAATCTAAGTGATCTTGTATCAGGCAAAGATTTCTTCTATGACACCATAAGCGTGAGCCATAAAATAAAATGAATAAATTAGATTTCATCAAAATTTTAAGGCAACTTTTTAAAAGAAATTGTTGGTAGAATGAAAAAACAAGCTACAGACTAGGAGCAAATGCAATTCTCACGTCTGATAAAGAACTCGTGTACAGATTAAAGAACTATGAAAACTCAGAAGAAAATAAAAAACCTAATTTTTATAAATAAGGAAAGTGATTTGGACATGTCACCAAAGAGCTATAGGGATAGCAAAAAGCACATCAAAATATGATCAGCATTACCAGTCATGAAAATGCAAATTAAAACCACGATAAGACATCACCACATACCTCTTAAAATGGCTAAGATTAAAAAGACTTTGTCTACTCATTTGGTATTTAGATTCTACATATGGGTGAAATGATATGGTGTTTGTTTTCCTCTGACCTATTTCGCTTAGCATAATAAATACCCTCTAGATCCATCCATGTTGTTGCAAATGGCAAGATTT